TTTAATTATTAATAGTAGTGGTAAAGTAGCTTGATTCATTATAGCAATTGCTTGGACTATAAATATTTAAAAGTTGAGATTATTGGTTTCCTTAATTAGCAGTTGTGTGTATTATTTATCAAGGTGCCAAGTTTTGTGAAGGATATCAGTAAGTTGAGAACAATGAACATTTTTTAAAATTATTTTTTGAAATTTTATGGTATTATTATGAGAAGTTTTCAATATACCAATTAAGGAAGTTAAATCACACACACAAAAAGCAATACCATATTTTTGTGCATATAACCCACAAGTTATCTGTGTTTACAGATACAATAGGTGATCAGTTAATGAACATAATCCGTTCCAAGGCTTTGTTTGTTATCTGAATTTTTCATTAACTGATTATCGATTTTCCATACATTTTTATGGGAATTTGATTAATTTGTTCTTGAAACTCCAAAAAATAAAAAATACATACTTTTTTACTACATTTATTTGTATGTAATAGTAAAAATACATATATATGAGTCTTGCATTTTTATTAGTCATGTTTTTTTCTGTTTGTGGGGGTTAAAGAATCTGTCCAATGTCTATTGCTTTTCTCTTTCAAGATTTTTCTGAAGTAATTAATAGTATTGTAAGTGTAGAGATCCCCAACCCCATTAACTTGATTCTGATTTGGATACCACTTGAATGATTGTTGTTCTGACATCCTCCCACTTCTTCAAAACATCTTTAGTAGCAGATGTCAACATTGGTCCTCTTTCGTCTTCCTATTTTTCAAAAGAAAACACGTCTTGCTGAGTTTCTTGGTATTCTTCATTTGAGAGTTCTTGGAGTTCTTCTGTTGTCAGGTTAGTTTCAGCCAACGTGTCCCTCACCTCATCGGCAGTTATCCTAGACCTTGCAGTGACAGTCAGCACCTTCCCAGCCCTCCTGGAACTCATATGGACCCCAGGTCACTTGGGCATATCCATTAACGAAGAGGCCGATAAGGCAGTGAGTCAAAACCAAATAACAGTCACATGGAGACATTCCCTTATGCCCAGGGAACTTCATTATCTCTATCGAGACAAAATAATTCACACATTCACTGAAATCTGGTCAGAATCCCATAGGAATAAGAGGAGAGAACATCTCCGTCCTTTTGCCAGTTGGCCATACAACCTTGCCTCATAACAAAGAGCGGAGACACTATTGGCCAAACTAAGAACCAATACGGCCCCACTAAATGCTTTTCTCTACTCTAGAAACCACTACCATTCACCAAATTGCCAACACTGCAGAGCGGAAAAAAATGACAATCCACTACTGGTTGGAATGCCCAAAATATGCATAGGCTCATAAGGACCTAGGACATATCTCATTAGACTTGAGCTTGGTAAGAACTGTGACTCCAATATACTGGCCGAACGCAAGGATCCCCCTCACAAGCACATGAAAATCCTAAAGAACTATATACATCGAACATGACATTTCGCCTAGTCATGCAGCGGTGCTCATCGAAGAAAAAGCCGATACACAGCCAGAATCTCCATATAAACCCCGAAAGAAAGAAAACAAAACAGCCATAATCTTAAATTCTCTTATTATTGCTCCAATTGGTACTCTGGTTTACCGAATGCCAATCATTTTTATTCCTTTTTTAGAAATAACAATATTTCATTTTGCATTGTTTACACAGACATTAATTTATTAACATTATAAAATTACAAAGAAAAAGTATCTATGAAATTATAAATTTTCAAAGATTAACGTTTACAAATTTTCACTGTAACAAATGAGTGGCATAAATTTTGATGTCTCTTAAAATTGCCGTAAACATTTCATCTTTGGCATATTGTTCTGTTAAATATGACTCTAAGTGGATAATTATGTGAAGTTCCATGATGAACTTTATTTCTCCAGTTTGCACTGCCCCACAACCTTTCTATATTTTGGGTGTATTTTGATCTACAAAATTATACAGCAGAGCGTCGATTTTCCGAAAGTCAATCATCCGAAAGAATTCCAGTCGGCAAATTTAAATTTTCGTCAGTGCTGTGGCGCTTCAATCTTTGACTATGTCTTGGGCTACTCAAATATTTCACGTTTTTGATACTAAATTAACATCTGAAGTATAATTTTTTATTATTTTTATATTTTTCAATATATTTATTTTGTTTGTACAAAATAAAAAAATAATTTTTAACGATACAATAGTCTTTGTTAGGCTTAACATCGACAAAAATTCAACGCGAAGCGACACGCAACGGAGAAAAATTTCGAAATCGGATACATTAAACTATTTTTTCGTACGTAAATCAGTTATCCGAAATATCAGTTATCCGGACAACCCCAGTTCCCAATTGATTCAGAAAATCGACACTCTACTGTACTTATGATTTACCTGGAAGTGTTCATAACCGGCTTCTACTAATTTGTCTCCTTAAAACCAGTTCTGAGTTCTTACACCCTTCTTTTCACAACAGGAGCAGTTATGGCATCTCCATCTTGGGACGTCAGAGGAGCAGAAATATGATGTCATTGAACGATTTTTTTAAACAGTACCTTTCACTCTGCAAAATACCTTTTTCTTGAAAAAACATATTGCACTTTCCTCATCATTGGGTAAATCCCACAGTGTATAATCTGTTTTATGTTGAAAACAAAAGATGATGTCAAGATCAAAGTTTAGAAATGCAGAAAATTAACAATATGTAAAATTTTCATGACTACAATAGTGCTATCATGTAAATATGCAAATCATTTGTGGCGATAAACTGGTTCTAACTAGTGTTGTTTAAAAACATAATAGACTTTTATAAATTTTAAACAATATTAGTAGAAAGGTTAAACTTTGAATCCAAAATCACTACAAAAGCTGTTTATTGTGAATTAAAGACAATTTTAAGAAGTAAACACGATTCATATTTCACCAATTGAATGATGCCCAGTTAACAAAATAGTACGCTCCGATTTTTATTATTTTAAATTTTCGTTGATGTTGGCAAAGAATTCAACATTATAAGAGTCAACTTTTAAAAGGCCAAACCTCATAAAGGTAACTTACACATTTAAACACCCAAACTAGCACACATTAATTCAAATCAGCACACACTGACTAACATTTTCATCTATTTATAACAGGCATCTTCACATACAATACATATAATGCAGAAATAAACTGAACAAATTAAAATTGAATATGCTTTTATAAACATAACAAAATTTGTTCAAAAACTAAATTTTTAATTTGTTCAAAAAATTATTTAAACTAAAAATGTAATTCGTCCGGAAAATAATTTAAACTCAACCAAACCAAATAAGGCTATAAATCCGCTATTATTAATGATTAGATACCAAGTAATTTAGTACTGGAGGTAAAACTAGCACCTGCTCCAGGCTCGTTTTCTTCCAGATGGTTGTAAATTATTTAATAAATTATTAAAATTATAATTATTAACTTAGATAAGAGATGGTGCCTAATGCCTACCTCTAGTAGCAAATTACTTACTATCTAATCATTAATAATAGTGGATTTATAGCCCGATCATTTAAGGCGATCACTCGGTCGAATATCTACGTATCGGGCTTTGGAATGCTTAGTAATCTTAAATAATTTAAAACTGAAGTTATTTGTTCAGTTTAGTTCTGCATTATGTGTATTGTACCCAAACAGGATTATAAACAGACCAAAACATTAGCAAAAAAGTGTCATTTTGAGTTAGTGCAGGTCGGTTCAGGTGTTTTGTCGATACTTTTCGGTTAACGGAACGCCAGCCGACACATACGGCAACGGGTAAGATTCAAGTTCCGAACGAGGTGTTTCACATCACCCCAGATACGTTAATCTTTTGCGAGATATTTGTCTCTAAAAATCAGTTTTTAATACATATCAGTTTACCACCTATTCTACATGCTTTGCACGTAGATGCGCGCCTCGGTGGGGCGAGCTCCCACATCCGCTAAAACTATATAACAGGGGTGGCCAACCTGTGGCTCGCAAGCCACATGCAGCTCTTTGAAGGATTATATGTGGCTCTCGATAAATGTACCCGAGTTCCCTTTTCGTTTTTGTGTTGTTATATTTTTAAAAATTATTATCGTTCCGTATGTGTTTCAAAATGTCTTTTAAATTACTAACAACAAATATGAAAGACTAAGTGCAACGTTGTAACAAATTTCATTTCCGTCCAAGTTAAGAATGATATGACTCATCGAAAACTGTGCGAACGAACATAAAAGTGGAGTAATCGTCCGTTATCGACCGACTCCAGACCGATTTTGAATTTGTAAACTGTCATTGCAATGGACAGTTGACATTGTGCTCTGGAGGAAACAATTTGTATCACTCTTGCTACGAATATAATTTGTAATCTGAAATTTTTTGCATACCTTTTTAATACGTATTTAATTGCGCCTTGCGAAAAATTTCAAATTTTGAAAAATGGCTCGGACTATCAAGGAGCTTGGTCACCCTGGCTATATAACATCAAGTACTCCACGAACGGTCAAGGGCTCGAAGCCAGCAGTCACGAGGACTAAATCGTTAACAGAGATAGTCTTTCGCCGTCGTCTTCCGGCGTCCCGTTAACCAAAAAGAACCGTTCCGTCTGCGTTTAAGTAATATATTCCAGTTTTGGAGCATACTTGCCAAGGTTAACAAGCCAAATCTACAGTTCCATTTGGCACTCAAATAAAAAACCCCGCAATCTTACCAGGATTCCTGCAGCATTGACAAGATGTAAATCCTATCGTATAATACAAATTTATTTTCAAGGAAATTAATAGTAATAATTCGGTAGACGTTACCTTTAGTTAATTTGAACCTATACGAAAATTACCTAAAAGTAACTTCTACCAATAATTCATTAAAAATAATAATAATAATTTAATTAACTTGATTTAAAAATATAAATAATTTATTTAACTTTAAAACGTATTTTTTTTTTAAGTTAAAGTCGTTAAATTAAAGAAGAGTCTCGACCAAACGACATTAGAAACAAGCGCCAAATACGAAACGTCAAAAGCCTAACCTGATATTCAATGTCCAGAACTTGTCCTGCGTTGGCTTTCTGATAAAAACATTCTTCGGTTCCCGGTCGAATTTTAATTGTTAATTCATTTTCAAATATATCGATAAAACCCCCTTTCGTTATATAATTTACTAAAATAAAAATACAAAATAACTTCTGTCTGCTAAAACTCCTAACCGGATCCATCGAAAACTCTCGATTTATACTTTACTTTCGTATTTTGTAAATGTTAAGGAATATCTTAATTAAAATTAAAATTTAATTATATATTAATATAATT